CCCCCCAAATTTTTTCAAAATGTCTTGTTTCGTTTTTTTTCTACTTCTCCTTTCTATTTTCCCCTTTCCATAACCTGTGTTCAGTTGAATTCTTTTTTTTACTATTACTATTATTATTTATTTTTTTACTTTTCTGGCTCAATACATAGTACTTCATGTCTGGTAAAGGCCACAAGTTTGCCCACAGAGGAGAATTGCACAAAAGAACGAAACTAGTTTTCACATGCGACTGCAGAGATACGTCCTGGCCGTGTATTTAGCAGAAGTAAAGTTGAACGCAATGACCATTAACCGTTTCCTTTTAGGGAAGCTCGCTGTTAGACATTTTCCAGCAGTGTGAGAAGCCTCTGCGTTAAAATGGCCGCCCACTCTCGTCTCGGGCTGTTGGCATGTAGCCGGTCAGTTTGATAAATCGTTGAGATCATTGGTTAGCACCTTCTTCAGCATGGCTTCCTGCCTGACACATGTGACTCATTTCTGGACGGCTGCTACAGATACATGATTTATCTGACTGACCGCTATTTTTTATGCTAAACTAGGAAGGATTTGACTGTTTTCCTGGTACCTAGACACCATCGTTTGTAGGGTGCAGATGTTCGTTTGCCGTCGTGAGGGTCCGTGCCCTATATGGAAAAGGAAGAGCCGCACAGATGCACAGATTAGCCTTAATATAGCATGTCACCCACCATGATGTTCAGCTCACAGCCAATTTCCCATAGTAGCCAATAAGGAATTTCCAGTTTCCCTAAGCTTCTGCGTCCTAAAGCGGCCGTCCTCCATTCTGAAGATGAACTGAAACCAGCGTCTTTGAGCTTTGGGGTCTCGGTTATGTGGAAGTATTGCCAGGTCCCACTGAAAGATGCCCGGTGGTGCGGTCGGGGTCACCGGTTCAAACCCCAGTGTCGGCACAGTCACGTCACTATTGGGCCCTTATCCCTGCTTTCTCAAATATATATGCTGCTTTGCATAAAAGCATCTGCTAAATAAAATAATTGACCTATCAGCTTATGGATGGCGCCATCTTGTGGGAGACTGGAGTGTGCGGCTATTTTAGTTTGCGTCTAAGGATAATTCATGTTTACGTGTGTTAGTTTACAGAGAGGAGAATACTCGTCCTGCGTTCGGTTTTTAATTTCAGGTTCTTAATAGAAATCCCCCCTGAATAGAAATGTAGTCATCTGCCATCACTCATGGGACCCATTTATATTTCATGTAGCTGAACCCAGTAAAACCCTACACCTAAAACATAAGGCATCTGCTATTTTATACCCAGGACCTGAGACGTGTTGGCACGCGTGTCATCCATATAAAGCTATCGCCAGTTTTTTACGGCGATGAAAGCACAAAATTTTCCATAAAGTCGTTAAGATTTCACCTCCGATAAAGCAGTGCTTTGAGAATGAGGCTTAATGAGCTGTTTAAAAGCACCTATCCAGACAAGGAGTGACATATGCGTCACTCAGACTATTGTAGCAGAGGATCTGAGGTATTTTCACGCTGCTCAGGGACTGTGAATTTTTTCAGAAGAAGCCCTATATATCGGCAGGTGCTCAGGAGAAAGATCTTGAAGGTTTGTGAAGGAGGTATAGTGAGGGTAAAAAAAAAACACTTTAAACTGCAGAAGAAAGAAATTAAGACTTACAGCAATGCAGTGTCAATGGATGTGGGTATAACGGTTACTAACGTTGGAGTGCATGTTGATATCCCACTATGCATGCTGGGTAATTAGTGATGCAAAGCTCAGGGAGCTGCCTTCATGAGGCTCTGCATCTCATCTCACTGAGCTGTTTGCACTCTTTGCAGAGCCGAAACGGACTGACTACTCATCCATGTGTTAATGCAATGGGGGGGAAAACGGGTCATGTGAGTGACTGGGAACGGAGACGTCTGTGGCTGCGTCAGTTTCCCTGTAGATGTCATTCAGTGGTTGCCTGCTTTCCAGATGTGTTTGACTCTAAATGAGCAGTTTCCTCTGGTAGTGTGGGATCTTGTCTGTGCCCGCCTACTCCAGTCAATATGGTCAGATGAATTCATAAAGGACTGGAAACAAGGAATTTTTATTAGGAATTATTAACTTTTTGTTTCGGGACAGCTTTCCAACATTTTTTCCCCCCCCTCTGTGTTTCTGGACCAACTCTAGTATACAAAATTGCATCTCCACATGTTTAAAGGGGAATTTCCTAAGCAAGACAAAACTTCTCGAATTTGACATTGTGACCGTTCACCAAAAGGAGCAGTGAGGCTTTGAAATCCACAGTGGGTTGGATTACTGTAGACTGTCCCCCACCATTTTGGTTTGACTCGCCTCCCATTGGTTACTTCATTGACTCCTGTTGGATTAAACCAATCAGTGGCTGACAGGGCACGGTACTCTAACCTATGGCGCACTTCAGAGCCTCATTTTGCCAGTCACGATCTGAAGCTCAAACCTCCCCCCGTTCCATCAGAGGAAGCCACTGCCCATGTATGTGACCCCCCCCCCCTTAGCAGTACATCATCACAGCCATACCTGCCTTGGTGTGTCCTGTTCTCGCCACACTTTAAACCTTTTGACATGGCCAGCGCCCAGTCGCCTGCTCTGCCCCCGAGCATCCATGGTAGGCTAGCGTTATACATTGGGTGCCGCATGTGTGCTGTGACATCATTAACCATGTGACGCAGCCAAGTTCAGCCTCTACACCCCATGCGTGTGTGACTTGTCTCCTCACTTTAGATGAGTTTAGTGGGTGGGTGCATTTTGGAGGCCCGCATGTGAATATTTAGCCAGTCCTTAAAGAAATACAACCAGCGTTCTTCCTCTTAAAGATCAGGCTGCTGTAGACCCAGAATGGCTCAATAGTCATATGGGACATTGGTGCCACCACAGCCAAGACTATTAACCTGAGCCCCACCCCCCACCCCCGGCAGGACCTGATGGTGGGAGACGAAGCCAGCGAACTGCGCTCCATGCTGGAGGTGAACTACCCCATGGAGAACGGCATCGTGCGCAGCTGGGACGACATGAAGCACCTGTGGGACTACACCTTCGGACCCGAGAAGCTCAACATCGAGTCGCGCAACTGCAAGATCCTCCTCACCGAGCCGCCCATGAACCCCACCAAGAACCGGGAGAAGATCATCGAGGTACGGCATGCGTGTGGGGCTGCACTCTCCCCCGGGTCTGTAACCTGAAACCATTCAAAGCCTTTATGCACTAATGGGAAGTTGATTTTTCCTGGTGAGTGGTGACCTTTACTATGGCCTTGCTGTGCTATAAACACATGTCCATGCTCTTGTTGAGCTGATGTCAAGGTGGGCGCCTCTACTCTCGTTTTCAGGTGATGTTCGAGACCTATCAGTTCTCGGGTGTTTACATTGCCATTCAGGCAGTGCTGACACTCTATGCTCAAGGTAGGAGAGCGACTCCTTTCCCACTCTCCCATGCAGTGAGGTAGTTATGATGTGTTATTATCGGTACATATGCCTGTTTACCTGAGTAGTATCTGTTCCTGTGAAGATGCTGCCACCTGGTGGTCATATTCAGCTATGTTACTTCTTTTACTGAAATCATTTGGTCTTTTTCTGTTTCATTACTGTTTATTATTATTCTACTATTCATGGTATTGATTTGGAAATGAATTTCTTCTAAGTAAAATCAAAGTGGTGGAGAGAACTTCACATAGCGCTGTCGCTTGATCCGTCCCTGCTCTCAGGTCTGCTGACGGGTGTGGTGGTCGACTCTGGTGACGGAGTCACACACATCTGCCCCGTCTACGAGGGCTTCTCCCTGCCCCACCTGACCAGGCGGCTGGATATCGCAGGGAGGGACATCACCCGCTATCTCATCAAGGTGCCCCGCCCCCTTCCCTAAGCTGCGACCTCAATGTGCCCCGCCCCCTTCCCTAAGCCGCGACCTCAAGGTGCCCCGCCCCCTTCCCTAAGCCGCGACCTCAAGGTGCCCCGCCCCCTTCCCTAAGCCGCGACCTCAAGGTGCCCCGCCCCCTTCCCTAACATCTTACACTTACTGCTCACATATTTATCACCATGGCTTTCTTCAGCCTCTTAAGGCTTCTGCACAGTACTGACAATGTAATGTGATACACAGCGTGATGTATACAGAGTTACTGTACGTATGCATCTGGCCTGAGCTCTTTTCACTGGCTGTGAGTCTCCCGGTGATGCAGCCCCTCCCTGACTCCGTGTCCCACCCTGCCACAGCTGCTGCTTCTGAGGGGCTACGCCTTCAACCACTCGGCAGACTTCGAGACGGTGCGCATGATGAAGGAGAAGCTCTGCTACGTGGGCTACAACATCGAGCAGGAGCAGAAGCTGGCACTGGAGACCACTGTGCTGGTGGAGTCCTACACGGTGCGTCCCGGAGCCATCATGGCGGCCACATTCTGCGAATTACCCACAATACAACTCGTGCATCATACGTCCTGTGAAGTTATGCTTCATACATCCTTGAAGCTTCCTCATTTTGAACATTTATTAAAATATTAAGGCCATATCCCACAATTCCTTTCCAATCCAAACCCAGCCTATTTAGAATGTGAATAGCGATCTTCAGCTGAGAGCAGTACTGCATGCCCCCGATACAAGTAAAACGAAGAAAGGTGACGTGGTTCACTTTTTTGCCTATTTAACCTAATTTTAAAAACTTTAATACTTCCGACAATGGAAGTTTTGAAAAGAAGACAGATAACGGATTTAGTCTGTTTTTTTCATGATTCTACAGCGAGATTTCAGCGAGATATAAACTGAAATACACGAGAAAGATACGCGGTCGACGATGCCCTCGTCCCCAGAGCGTTAATAATAGTCACTGCATCATATTTATCGCTTTCTATATTTATATAGTCACAGTTTTTCATTTTTAATTTCATCTACCAATAAACTGTGAACGGGATTTTATTGTTGCTACTTTTCTTGCTCTTCAAACTGCCTTTCCAAAGTGATGGGTGTGGGGTGCAGTGACATTCCAGACTGATGGGCCATTGACAGTATGCAAACTACTACAGGTGTGAGGACACCTATCTCATCAATATTCATTGTGAAGACCACTGACTTTGAGAAGAAGAGTGTCACTCCAAAGTTCTAACACTTTAGTAATCAAACCATATAAAATTTCTGAATGTCACTTTTACCTATGTGTAGCCAACCCCTGTGTCTAAGCTTCAGAG